ACAAATATCTAATTTGTCCGAACGAATTTCTAATTTGTCCGAACAAATATCTAATTTGTCCGAACAAATAACTTATTTGTCCGAACAAATTTCTAATTCGTCCGAACGAATTTCTAATTTGTCCGAACGAATATCTAATTTGTCCGAACAAATAACTAATTCGTCCGAACGAATTTCTAATTTGTCCGAACGAATATCTAATTTGTCCGAACAAATATCTAATTCGTCCGAACAAATAACTAATTCGTCCGAACGAATATCTAATTTGTCCGAACAAATAACTAATTCGTCCGAACGAATTTCTAATTTGTCCGAACGAATATCTAATTCGTCCGAACAAATAACTAATTCGTCCGAACGAATTTCTAATTTGTCCGAACAAATAAAAATATTTTTTTACCTGGCCCTCCAGTGGCTAGGCCACGTAAAAAAAATATTTTTATTTGTTCGGACGAATTAGAAATTCGTTCGGACAAATAAGTTATTTGTTCGGACAAATTAGATATTTGTTCGGACGAATTAGATATTCGTTCGGACAAATTAGAAATTCGTTCGGACGAATTAGTTATTTGTTCGGACGAATTAGATATTCGTTCGGACGAACTAGAAATTCGTTCGGACGAATTAGAAATTCGTTCGGACGAATTAGGAATTCGTTCGGACGAATTAGGAATTCATTCGGACGAATTAGTTATTTGTTCGGACGAATTAGATATTCGTTCGAACGAATTAGAAATTCGTTCGGACGAATTAGTTATTTGTTCGGACGAATTAGATATTCGTTCGGACAAATTAGAAATTCGTTCGGACGAATTAGATATTCGTTCGGACAAATAAGTTATTTGTACGGACGAATTAGAAATTCGTTCGGACGAATTAGTTATTTGTTCGAACAAATTAGAGAAATTGTGAACAACTTTCAGGACACCGCGAATAATGTGCGGTTTGCACCAAAACGTTTCATTTTATTTTGATTCTTTGCAAAATAACTTTAATGAACAACATTATCAATAAATATTTTGAAGATAAGTCGTTATAATGTTGATCTCTTTCTCATGATTTTTTTTATGTACATATTCACTACCGTGCAGTTATTAATCATGACATGTGAATGATTTTTGAAATACATTACTGATACATATGTCGCCGATTTGTAGCTGAAATATTGCCGATTCGGCGTAAAACATTCAATCAAAAAATCTGGTACATATGCGGTGTATAAAATGATTAAAAGGTCCTCATTGAGTTTTTAATTAAATATTCCTGTTTGTGAATTTAGAAAACTTCACAAAAATGAACCTGTTCGTATTGATCCCAGGTTGTTCATATGACTCGCGAGCCGGTGAATAACGAGGTCAACCGATCAATCTGGTATACTGTATACAGGGTTATTTTCGCCCTTTCACACTTGCGAACAATTTTGCCCCGTTTTAAATTAGCCCTGCCAAAGTTAAGTTTAAGTACTTATACTGTATTATATGAATTCGTCCCGTTTTAAATTCGCCCGAATGAGGCTAGGGCGAAACAAAATACGGGGGCGAAAATTTCACTTATACAGTATTCCCTTCCATTGATTTTCAGAGCATAATTATACCCGTTTTTGGAGAGGTACATGTAGTCGAACAAACTATTTAATTTCACTGTCAGCATTTCTTAATTTTGTTTATACGCTTTTACAGTTGAGTACCAGTTCGAAGGTTTGAAACCCTTTTACGGGGAAAATAAATCATGAATGAATGTCAAAATATTTTCAAGTAACAACCCCCCCCCTCCTCTATTTAAAAAAACGATCGATTGTCTTAATCATTGAGAACCTTAAGTTGCATTAAATTATGATGTGTTTTTAAATTTTAATGCACTTTCTAGGAACGTACATGTATTCATCTATTTTTTTTAATCCTTTTCCCGGAAAGGGGCGTGTGTTTAATTTGGTTAATATTATACTTGCATGTTTTAATTCATGCGCTTTTCTGATATTTAAATATAAAATAAAATTTATATAGATACATTATAATAGTTTTTAACAATCTTAGAAAGAATCTATTGGAGATGGACTTATGAGATTCCCTCTTTTTGTTCCTTTATCACAAAATACTTAAATGTGGGAACAGCGGTATAGAAGCAAATCTACAAATGTCCTAGCTGGTAAGCCCCATCTTAAAAAAATTAAGACCCTCGAATAAGAGGCTCGATATTTTGAGTCCGAAGTTTATTCAACATAATACAAAACAGCCACGTAGCATCGTTTTTGAAAGCGGGGGGGGGGGGGGGGGGGGGGGCTGAGAAAAAAATAGCTACCTGAAAAGTTGACAAAAAAAAAAGGGGGTGACTCAGGAAAAGTTGCCCAAAGTTGACAGTCCTATTTCGTGGGGGGGGGGGGGGAGCTTACTTTTTCAATGCCAATTTTTTCCCGTACCAAGTGCCTGCAGTAGGAGTAAAACCTTAAGGAGTGGATCTCATCTTTTCAAAGAAGCGGTAACTGGCACCACTGGCACCCCAGTGTTAGTCAGGGATGGGAGTGAAAATATGTTTGATAAGAAGTAACTGACCCTTTGAATTTACTAGTGGGCTCTCAGAAAATATACTTTCAGAATGGCAGACTTTAGGCCTATAATATATTATACCATTATAGATCCATTATTTCCGAATACTTACAATCAACATACCCGACTTTAATATCACATGTCTAGTTGCTACGTGTATATGTCATGGTCCAAAGAGCTATTTATGTATTAAAAAAGGATGAATCCTCCTGAATAGACAAAGTGTATATCTCTCTTTACAGGATAATTTGTGCAAACATCTAATTTGCCCGAACAAATATCTAATTTGTCCGAACGAATTTCTAATTTGTCCGAACAAATATCTAATTTGTCCGAACAAATAACTTATCTGTCCGAACAAATTTCTAATTCGTCCGAACGAATTTCTAATTTGTCCGAACGAATATCTAATTTGTCCGAACGAATATCTAATTCGTCCGAACAAATAACTAATTCGTCCGAACGAATTTCTAATTTGTCCGAACGAATTTCTAATTTGTCCGAACGAATATCTAATTCGTCCGAACAAATAACTTATTTGTCCGAACGAATTTCTAATTTGTCCGAACGAATATCTAATTCGTCCGAACAAATAACTTATTTGTCCGAACGAATTTCTAATTCGTCCGAACGAATATCTAATTCGTCCGAACAAATAACTAATTCGTCCGAACGAATTTCTAATTCGTCCGAACGAATTTCTAATTTGTCCGAACGAATATCTAATTCGTCCGAACGAATTTCTAATTTGTCCGAACAAATAAAAATATTTTTTTACTTGGCCCTCCAGCGGCGCCGTAACTGACTGAAATATTGAGAAATTTTAAGTTTAACTTTCACTTTCATAGATCTATGCGTAAAACACAAGAGGATCGACTCTCATAATTTTGTTTGGCAATCTATTAGATTACATGTACGTGATTGGACTGTAGAAAATATACATTTAAAAAAAAAAAGCTGAATAATATGCCTTACCCTTTTTCTCAGTATTTCAGGTCATGTTTTTAATTATTTATTTCATAATTTGAAATCTGAAAAGTACACACTTTAACTATTCATAAATTACAGATTTAACATGTATATATCTAGTCTAAATTGCCTTTATACTAGTACTCATATATTTATGGTTTCATTGCCCCCTCCCCCTTTCCTTCTAATATATTTTAACAAATTAGGACATAATTAAGGAAAGAAAATGCTTATGTAGTTGAGCATTTAAAAAAAAAGGATAATTGGTACTCATTTTTTACATTCAAATACCATACTTTACAAAATCCTTACGGCGCGTTCATTGATAAAAACGCAAACCCCTGCCCCTTAATGCTGTCTCTTGGTCGCTGTTTTGAAGGCAAAGGTTGGACAAGTAATTAACATCAATTATCAAAAAATATAAATTAATGGGAACTAAAATATTTTTTGTTGTTGCTGGTTTTGAAAGATTTGGGCTGAACTTAAGCGGTAAAATTAAAAGTGAATTTTTCTTTATAAAAGACCTGTCAATTATTTGTGATGTTTTCTCTAAGTTAGCGAATCATAGGGCTATTTGAACTCCATTGACATATTTTTAATAAATATCAGAAAAGAATGAACTGAACTTTTTAATAAAAAAAATATATATTTTACAACAAATTAAGCACATATATAAATCAAAACGGCAATACAATACCAAGTTATTGCGTATAAGTAATTCATGTTTTTATTACGTCGCTATAACGTCGACGTAGCTACAAGAGGAAATTTTATAAAGTACGACGTCAGCTGTAAAAATAATGCATACTTTGAATACCTGTAAATCCGTAACGGAGCAAGATACACCTGTAATATTTACAGGTTATATTCACCTAAGGTTCTACATTATTTTTCAAGTAAAAAGTCATTTTCGAACATTTTTGACATAAGGGGGGTTTTTGCTTGGAACGGCTCAGATGGCAATAGGTCACCTGAGTTTACTCAGGTGACCTAAAAAAAGTCATTTGTTTTTATTTAAAAATTTACTAGAAACATGTCCATAAGACATATACATAAATGTCCCACCCAGTGTAAATTAGTAATGGAACATGAAAAATCTTCAATAGTTTCTTTAAAATTGAAATATTAAAAAATGGATATACATTTATAGATGATAAATTCTTAGCAATTATATAAGTGCATAAACTTACATCAAAGTACATGTATATTAAATGGTTTCTTTAAAACTGAGCTAAACACTAATTTAAAAAAAAAGAGAGGTCAATGTTTAAGCAAAGGTCAAGGTAAAAACATGTTTGATGCAGTTGAATTGCTCTATCAGCAAAGGAAGTTTGATTAAAATATATTGAATAGTTTCTTTGAAACTGAGCTAAACGGAAGTCGGATATGACAAACTCAATATGCTCCGGCTATTTTCATGGCGAGGCATAAAAATCTTCTCTGACCAAAATGAAAAAAAATCTCGAGAACTATAAGAACACGTGTCAATTATTGTGACCACCACTGAATAATTGGATTTTCATCTTCAATTGGCTTGATCATGTCCCATGCCATTGGCTGAGTAATATCACGTGGTATTATATACGGTCTGCCCGCGTTCTTGTATGCACATCTAATTCTGTCCCTTTCTGTCGTGGGGTTTTTGTAGTTTGTCTCTGAACTGCTTGGCGATAAATCATGGAGAGCAAAACTCAACTCTGGCTGAAGTAAAATGAAGCAGTTCTCACAACCAAACGCATATCTACTGTTTGTTTCTGGATAAAACGGTCCAAATGTTGTTATGAAAAATGTCACATTATTGAACTCGAAAACCCATCCTCGTTTTGCAACATAGGATTTGTTCATACATCTCACTCCCTTCGGGTCGTTGTCTGATATCACTTTGAGTATTCTTCTGAAGGTCTTGGCAAAAACCTGGCAAAAACAGTTTTTTTTTAAATATTTAACTAATTATTAATATATTCTTGCTGTGATTTTACCAATTATTGACCTGTAATCGCTCAATGAGATTAGTGTGTCTACAAACATGAATTGTAGGACAATTCTAACCAAAGATTATGATCACCTTGATTAATTTGCACCATAGAAGAGAATTATTCAAACCTGTATGTCCTTCCGATGGAATTCATCTGGTACCTCGATCAGAAAACCGTCAAGTTTATACTGACGACAGACAAGTGTGAAGTGCAATAAGGAAGGTAAAATTCTACAAGGAAAATTAATGTTTATAATTCACAATTCAGATCTCTAACAAACAACTTTCTTGTTTATACGTATATTGACACATGAATAATTGTGTTTCAATTACTAGTAACTTGTATACATGACTGTTTCTTATCGTTTTTCTTCCCCCTATCCACTTTATAATTGCCTTGCTACAATATCCAATATATGGCGTTTGTGAGTGTCGTGTAAAACAATGTGCAAGTGATGTAACTCCTGCTTTCTCAATCTTACCTGAATGTATTTTCTTCTGTAAAAAAAGTTAAGAACAAAATGAATACATATCGTATTTCACAGAAAACGCTTTCAAATTCAAAATATTTACTTTGCAGTACAAATGATTGTAGGGTGTTTGTTATATATATGCTTGTTAGAATGTAGTAATATGACCATATAAAATCAAAGAAATTGAATGATATCTAATTCTCACTTCATTACTTGCTTTTAAATAATTACCTAAACTTAAGTCTTCATCCCATTCTTGGTTTCCCCAAAGTTTGGCTCTTCTGGCAAATATACACTCTGTGTTTTCTTGAATGGGTCTAAAATTTTCTATGGCAGGGACCTTGGAAGCATCATATGTCACGAAGTTAAACACAGCCCTGTGTATACTCTTCCTCAGTTCTTCTTCGTCCACCAGGGGGTAAAGTTCATTGACGATTTGTCTTGTGGTTTTATGATCGTCTTCGTGTAAGGAACTGGAATTCTTTGACGGAGAAAGTTCACACAGGGAAACTGGAAATTATTTAAATAAAGAATATACAGTATTTTCATCCTGTAAATGTTTTCATTGAAATTTCACAACTAATTACTTTGTATACAAATAATACAAAGCACTAAAAAAGATAATATTTGGGGTTTTTTCATACATGTACCGTTACCTGACTAGTTTATTACCTGCAATAATATATGTAACCCCCCCCCCCCCTTTTGGGAAGAAGGGGGGGTCAGATTAAAAAAAAATCGGGGAGGGCTACATTATTGCAGCTATTATTTATATACTTGTTCATAAACATCACAACTATTGCATTTATACATGTCATATTTAAATAAGTAACGAATCACGGACCTACATGTATATACTAAATATATCTATATAAGTACCTGATTAAATGAAATAATAGTCAATTTCCCACTGAAGTATAAACAATTACGCTTTTTATATACCTGTATACTTACCCAAGAATAAAACTAGCGATGTCAGTGATTGCCACGAAACTGTTACGGTGAAAGTGGAAAACAAGAAAATACCCAGGCAAAGAAAACGAACAATAACACGAAATTTCACCATCTTTTAATATTTGGTCGTTATTCGTTGCCACAGTGGCAAATGATTCCTTGAGAAAACTGGCCTACTAAAAATCGATCCACATGTAAACACGAAACTGAAAGTGACGATATACAGAACACGTTGTTTTTGTTTACGTGTTGCTAGCTTCCGGGTTACTCCTACCAGAAATACAATTTGGAGCTTGTCGCAAAATATATGGAGGCCCATATCTGTCATATATTAAATCGTTGATTGATGTATAAAACATTGCTATTCATTTTTATGTAGTAGCTGCAGATATCAACGCTTAGACATCATCACATAGAATATTTTGAAAATGTGTGACTTATAGCAGGGACCTATATACTAATTTAGTCCATTTTTAGTAATTTAAGTGTCATTTTTCCTTCAGTTTTACATTTTCCATTTTATATTAAATGATTCAAAGCTAATTAAATCATTGATGGTAAATTCTGTTTGACAGATACAATAAGGATTCTTGGAGCGGGTGTTAATAATGCAATGTACTCCCAATACTTTATTTTCAAAAACAAGCATAGTTCAAATAAAAAGTAACACTTAACTCACTGTTGACACAAAATTTATATACATACACAGCTATAAAAAAAATACACACATATGACACAAATATGTACAAAATAATAATATACTAAGGACATTGGCAGTAACCTAAATATCATGAGCAGCTAAAATCAATAATTTAATTGAGAGTGAATTTTTCATATTGTGCCAAACAATCACTTTCTCGTACCAAAGTGTCAAATATGGTAAAGATGGCATCATTATATATTCATGAACTAGCCTCCTTCAGTACAGAATTTTATATGTATTAGTGCACACTGCATGTGAAATATATGGACACGTTTTAGCAAAAAGTCATCTGAATGACTCAGGTCACCTTTAAATACAGTGTATAAAACTGCAATTTGTCATACTTTGAACACATTGAATAATCTTTGACAGTAAATATAGTTAACAATATCACAGTGGCTTTTTGGATTTCTTCTTCACACCTTTTGGAGGTCCAAAAATCTTGAATGTTGTTCTATGAAATCAGAAAAAAATGTACAATGTACTTACAGCCATTTACAGACACATTGACTAAACTATGTCATTATATTATTACCAGTTTATTTTATGAAGTTATATTTTCTATATCTGTATTCTATATCTGTCGATGAAGCATCATTTAGATTTTATTATAATCACAAAATGATTAACATAACAAATGAATATAAATATTTGAGTGTTGTGTTTAGATCTGATGGGAAAATGAAATTTGCTGCTGAACAGCTATCAGAACGTGCTAGAAAAGCATATTACGCTATTAAATCAAACTTTCCTGCAAATGTTAATTTTTCTGCTGAAATTATTTTGAAATTATATCAGTCAATGATAATACCAATTATAACATATGGATCTGAAATATGGATAACTGACTTTAAATGTGATTTAATGTCTTCAGACCAGTTTCCTTTTGAAAAAAACACAGCACTTGATATTTAAAGATATACTAGGGGTACATAGAAAGGCATCTGCATTCAAATCTTGCTGTTTTATGTGAGTTGGGTCGTTTTCCTTTGTATTATTTATGTTATGAATATATGTTAAAATATTATATGAGACTGAAGGAAATGGAATGCAAACATGATTATAACAATTATTTAGTGGTTTCTGCATTTAAAAAAGACAAAAATCTTGTATCTAAAATATCTTGGCAAAAGAAACTGTCTTCATTATTATTACAAAAATTAAATATTAGTTCTTTAGAAATATCTCACATAACTTTGAAAAACAAATTACAAGAGCATTACCAAAACAAGATATATATGAACAACTAAAAAATGTTAGCAAATCAGACTCTGGAAAGTTAGCATTTTATAGCAAAATTGTGAATCAAGATGAATACAAACTGCAAAGTTATTTAAAATTACCACTGAAAAAAAGTTGTAGATCTTTATTAACAAAATTAAGGATCAGTGCCCACCCACTGTATATTGAAAACCTAGAGAAAAACGTTTATGTTATTCATGTAAATTGTTTGTTGAAGACGAAAAACATTTTGTTCTTTATTGTCCAAAGTATGATCAATATAGATGCAACTATAATGATATATTTAATGTAAATTCATATACTAGTGATAACCCCATTAGAAAAACTGTCAATCCTACAAATATTTCAACTGCAAGAAGGATATGTTGTTTCTTGAAAAAGTGCTTTGACGTCAGAAAAGAAAGTCAAAAATGAATATCAATATTGAGAAATGCACAATTTTGTTCACCTCATATTTTTCACTTTGTATATGCTTGTATTAATTGTGTTAATTTATGCTATGTTATTCATGTTCATGACTGTATGCCGACATAGTAATAGTATCCATTCACGTCATTAACCGTCGGGTGGCGCTGCGGTTTTAGAGGTGGTTACGCAAACGTTTGAATTTGTCAAGCGCTTGACTAGTGTAAACAAATGGTAGCGTGGCGAGACATGTGGTTTCTCCTGGACGTATACCTCCAAATTAATTAATTTGTAAAGAATGTCAACCCTCTGTGGTGTGCCAGGATGTTGTAGAGGATGCGGACACTCATTATTTTCAGATCCAGACATTTGTTTGAGACGAAAAGTGACGCTAAATCGGTCATGAAGATGATCAGCTGACTTGGTAAACACGATGTTTATACCAGAATTTTGGAGTCGGCGATATTAAGGATTAGATTTTTGGTAAAATATTGATTTTGATTAATTTTAATTAGTATTTTACGAAGTATATGTCATTAAATCGTATAGATTTAACTATAAAAATGAGTTACTATATATAGTATAAAACATATTGACTTTGTGACTTTTTAACTTTTTCTTAAATGGAAAAAAGTAACTCCCTTTTTATTTTTTTTTTTCATCAAAGGACATTTGAACTATTTATATTAATAGTGTCTTAATAGCTTGACACATGGCAATTAATATTATTTAAAATATTATTTAAAAAGTTGGAAATTTAATTAAAATGTCTAAAGCTTTTGTTGCTTTGTGATTTTGTTGTTAAACAGACAGACACAGCACTGGTAAATGTAATAGGATTAATTCTGATTAATTTAATGTACAGTGGCAGTTTTCTTTTAAAAATGTACAAATAGAGTGTATGATGTGTTTATGTCCCCATACAATTAACTTGATTTGTTAGCAAATGGAATAACTTCAATAAGTACTGCAATTTATGATTTTAGTTCAATGTTTAATTTTATTATATATTTTAAATTTCAACACGAGAAATAATGAGATATTTTTCCCCGCTTGATTAGTACGAGTAGGGTCTTTGGTTTTCCCTGGATAAATATTGATTATATAATATTCTACTTTAACTCAATACAATAACAAAACAAAAATAATATTTGCACAGTTCCTTATTACAGGAGACAAGAGTAGACTAAAAAAGGATGCAGTAAACTTGACATCCAGTTTTGGACTTTAAAACTCCAGCAATACAAGTCCAACAGCTCCGTGGCTGCAGTCAAGACACGAAGTATGTACAAAGAATGTCAAGAGTGTACTAAAGTGTGCCATGGAGTTTAGACAGTATCCCCAGTGATAACTAAGTCACTCGGATGTTTCTTCAGATCAGCCATATTCTTTAACAATTTTATATGAAAAATTCAAATGCAAGCATTTAATTGATGAAATTCTGTCCGAATGATTCTTTCTCATATACATATTGTAGAAGCTATTAGCATGATTAGGCTATTAAGTGAGATGTGCTTAGAAGATGTTCAACTATTACTTTTTAAATTTCAGAACACAAGTATATAGTTTTACGAATTTTTGACACATTTAATATAGAAAAATTTAAAAAAACTTTGAAAAAGAATTAAAAATGATTGTACATGTATTATGAATTCTGTGGAATATTTTTAATCAAGTTAATTTGTGGGGTTCAATGTTCATGGACAAGAAAAATTGTTCATGGGTATGTAATTTTGTGGATTTTAACTCATTGATAATGTAGATTCAATCAATATGTTAACAAAATCCATGGGAAGAGACTGCAAAACAAGCATTGATTTCCAAGAATATTGTACTTGCATGCTCAAATTTAAGTACGAAAGGAATAAATATGTATAAATATTTAATACAATCTTTTTTGTTTTATTTATTTACAGCCATGAATAAAATAAGCAAAATCGTTAACAGAAAAAAGTTCAAGCTTTGGAAAAATACTGTACATGTACATAACTTGGTGTTTTCAAAATTTAGCGCAATCAATGGATATGGTTGTTGGTATAATCTTGAATTAATGCTACAAATATTTGTGTCATATATTCTATTTATAAATGAATTTTTAGTGGTATTTATGAATTAGCACAAAATCGTGTGATCAAAAACAACTAAAATATGAAGCTCGCTATTTTAAGTACACATACAGTAAATTCCTTTCAATGTCAATTTTTGTACAAACAAATATTAAAATGTTATGTCTGTGCATTCTTTCATTTCACAAATTAATTTCTCTTGCCAGGGATTGTTTGAGTACATCAGCTTCTTTTCTCTTTCAGTTTTTGGTGGAATCCCTTCAAATAAGAATGAGTAGCAATTAGTATAGAGTAATTAGCATTATCATGACTGCACTTGTTTTTTGGTAAATTAAATTGTCTATAAATATTTTTAATTTTTTAAATAAAATTGATCTACTTCTCAAATTAAAATACAATTCTTAATCAACTTAATTGTAAGTTTGTGAAAAGCCTGAAGATGCTGCATACAAGATTATTGTACCGGTATTCTATTAGAGAATTTTCCAAGCATGAGCATACCTAGTCTATGTGTGTACAGGCTGAATGTTGCCCCATATTTCCAGCAGAACATTTTCTCTGTGATGTATAGGACTGCCAAACATCTCAACACTTTGTCTTAGGTTGTAATACACCTAGTGATAATAAAAAGAAATGCATTTTTTTTAAGAATTAAAATTGGAAGCATTGAAGCATTGCTTAGGCCAAAATAAAATTATAGTTTGTTTGGAATTGCCTCCCTTCTCATTGAAATGCCCCCTCCTGAAAAAATTTTATTGACCAAAAGTAGGAAGATTTTTTTATATTTAATCAATTTTTTTTTTTTGCCCATTACATGTATCACATGCACCATACAAAACACTGATATATAGTGTCTGATCTATGTAAAATTAGGTTTTCAATTAAAAAAAAAGTAATTTCCCTCCCTCCCTCCTGTGTCTGAAACCCTTCAGGTGGCAATTCCAAACAAACAATTTTTTAAGGATGGCCTAGCTTAGGTGTAATTTATGAGTACTTTCTATTATTAAAAAAAATACAAATGCAATTACATACCAGTTCATCTTTTTCCCTGACAGCACTGACAATAGGATGGATGCCATTTCATGAATTAGATGGGGAAAAATAGAATTTTTATGTAACATGTACCATCCAGCCATAATAAAGCTCCCTGTAAGCTTTGACTTCTTATTTTACCTGCTGATCTCCTAAATAAAATGAAATGAAAAAAATATATTCTTAAATAACTGAAAAATAACCAATTTACTCAGTATAGGCTTTTATTTAGGAACAAATATACAGTCAGCCTTTAAGTGAGGTCAATCCATAGTCCTGATAATAAATTCTTTTTTTCAGAGGACTGTAAAATTAGTTATGTTTTTTGTATTTAGTTGTACAATAACAGCTACTACATGTATATATTCCTTTTATTTATTTTTACATGCAGCAGGTTTTATTTAATTACTGAGTATATCTTTCCGACTTAGTGAAATTGTAAATGTAAACTAAGTTGTCGAGGGTCACATTATAGAAACACAAATACCGGTACTGTACAAAATGGACCTAGCAAATGATAACTTTAAAATATTTGTACTCATTTTTACCTTTATTATAACAAAGATGTAATGCTCTAAGTATACAAGTAGCTACTGACTATGAAAAAAATATGTACAGAACAAATAAATTTCACAATTATTCATATGCACTATATAGTACAAGGGCACATATCAAATCTATGTTTGTTTGTTGTCTAATTTCCCTCTTAAGAATTTTTTACTCATACGGAGACACCATCATTTGCTGATGGCAGATTGCAAATATACCTATTCTCGGCACTCTGGGCCATTGAGCAGGGATGGATCTTTTTAGTGCGAACACTTACTGCAAAACAGGACCATGGTTTAGACGGTCTCATCTGTAGGACATGTAATGCAGTGGATTTGAACCTGCGACATTAGGTTCAGCTCTTAGCTTTGGCGACTGTAGACAAGGCAGACACTCTAACCACTGCGAAATGTGGGCGACTTACATCAAAGCGTACCAGTCTCAATTTTTTTTTTTATTTAAAAAAACAAACAAATGAGGCTGATTGGAAATCAATTATATTTATCCAATATCAATGAATGGTCATTTAATGTATCTCTATGTAGGATCTGGAGAGTCTTTTGGTGAGGGTTGAAATATGATGTTTGTGATTGTTTTAGTTTTGTTTATTATCATTAATTTTTTAAGTGAACTAAAATAAAATGAATGTTCAGTTTGTATTTGCCTTGCAATGAATATTACGTTGCACTTAATTACCCTGATGATCATTTGGGACGTTGCTCTTTTAACAGTATGTAACCAGTGTAGATCTACATAACCTAGCTGTGCAATGATTGTCATGTAAAAAAAAAACAAAAAACAAAAAAAACCCAAAATATCGCCATGAGTATTCATATCATATACTAATTCCATTTGAATCTAGTGTTTGTGTAAGTGGTAAAGATGATAATACATCTGACAACCTACAAAAACGTCGATTGTAAACTCACTGCTTTGTCGTTGTACTATCTTCGTCACATAGGCATGTTACACTCGATAATTCTTAGAAAGTTTCCATAAATGTATATTATTTACAAACAATAATTACCCAAGATTCGGATAAACCTTTCTCCCGGTTGTGACAGCTCGATTAAAGATCGATTCAGCCCCTCCGTTTGGCTCCAAGTTCGAGGACACGTCCATTTGTTTACATTGTTGTGTTAAAGCGTTTACGTAACCACCTCTAGTACACCAGCGACACCTGACGTCATAAATATGACGAATGAGTCCTATTGTCAATAAAGTGAATTGAATTGAATATACATTAAAAAATACAAATTCAGTATATTTTTTTTTTTATTACACAGCAGTTTTTTTAAATAATTTAAAAAGAAGGAAGTGAGTACTTACTGACAAGTTCCGCATATTGGACTGAATGCACAAAATACTGAAAAATTAACATAAAAAAAATTACTTAGGAAAAAAAATTAAAAAGTATGTTAAAAAATTCTAAAATCATTCACATTTTTACTTGAAGTTACATATAAGAAAGTGAAAAGACGTTAAAAGAAATCATGATATGATATGAACATAATTCAAACCCACTAGAAAGACAGACGGAGCACACATATCCAATGTCTATGAGATTTCTATGGCAGAAACAGGCAGCTCTGTAGTCCACTTGGACTTTTGGGGGTAAGGTCAGTTTAGATCTTTCCAGGGGGTCTGGGAGGAATACCCACTAAAGTAAAAAAGATGTCTTGTCTTAAATGTACAACTAACATTAACACAAACAATTAAATACATATTCTTGTAGAAGGTTTACTAATTGTCTTTTAAATTACAAACACAAGCTTAAACAAATTTGTTTTTTAATCAAATTCAAATACTCCAGACTTTACAAAAATGGATGCTTGATTAAAAAGCAAAATACAGTAAAACTTGGTTATACTGAAGTCACTGGGACCTATGATAATACACATGTACTTCACCATATCAGTAATTTATTATTACTAAATTCATTAAATTATATACATGTATCTGGGGATCCAAGATAACTATGCTATATCCATGAATTCGCAATACACGTGTTTGTTCTAAACAAGTTTTACTGTAATCTGATGTAACTTTTTTTTTCTTTACAAACCAGTAGGTACTGCAGTAGTCCTTTCATCTGAGGAATCTTCAGATAAATGCCTCCCGTTATATCACATGCCTACAATACAAGTATTATAATAACGACATCAACTAATTCTAACTTCTGTTACTTGCTTCTGTAGTATATGGCAATCAATAAAACAGCTGATTTAATGAAAACAAAACACAGAGATTTTCTTTGCTTTTAAATAATTTGCACACTAGTCTATTCTTGTGAACTGTCTTTTATTGCTTTCAATACATCTTATATTTTTATCATTTAAAAAAAATTAATAATCAAAAATTTTACTTTTAAATACTGTGGAATAATCACTGTTCGCAGGGGATCAATATTTTCGTGGGTAACCCCTTGCATGTACCAGAAAGTTTAGGTCCCCACACGTTTATTTTGTAAACATATTGATTCATAGAATCTACTATAATATATAAATTAGTAACCCACAAAAATATGTTCCAACAAACAAGTTTTAGTTTTGCTTAATTGCCTGTCCACACATGTTGACCCAACTAAAATGATTCCACAGTAATGACAATATTGTAAAAGAAAATTTTAAATAAAAGTCTTTCACCTGCTGTAACAGACCGGAATCATTGTCCAGAATACAAGCATCAATTACCACATTCTGAAACAAAGAAGTTATATCTATTTTAATATTACATGTATTTATTACTGTAACAGCACAAATATTTATTGGGGGTAATTAAATTTCATTTATTTTGCTGTAAACAAATATCAACGAAATTAAATCCAACATGGAATTCTATACAACTTTATATTGTATAGGGTTACTTTCAAAACAAGGAAATTAAATGCCCAAGAAAATTTTCTTGATAACAAATCAACAAAATTGCATCCCCACGAAAATTTGTGTTTCTACAGTATATACTTGTAAAACATAGTACATTTATCAAATTTTTCATCGCATGATCACACATTTATCTATTGTGATCATACTATATTACAGTACTGTAAACCTAGCTGTTTCTAGGCTGTAAACACTGTATACCTGTTTCTGGGCTGTAAACACAGCATTCATCAAATTCATATACTGCTCTGTGTTGTCCTCAGATCCCTTTATCACCTAATGATAAGAATTTAATTCAGATACTGGTGTTGATGATCACGGTGTTGTTTAGAAATACTTGTACATATGACTAATAGAGTCATAAATCAACAGATCAAATGCATGTGTGCTACAGTACTAGTGGAAGATTTACCAGAATTCGACTTGAAATAATTCCTGATTCCTCATGACTTTTCTCTGTTTTGTTGATATCTTACTTTGTCAAGAAAAACACAATAAAGAATGAAAGACATATATGAACCAATTTATAACTCTTTAGTCTATTTAGTATATAAGTATTGAAGCTTGATAGTAAGTTGAAAATGTGTTTCAACAGCTGATATTTGATAAAGGATACAACACAGTGCCATAGTCATGGCTCCAGCTATCAGAGAGTCTGGGTAGAGCTGTCCATTCATACCTGTCAAGTAAGAAGTAATATCAAGTAGATATCATAAATTAGGTATACCCCGGTAGGCTTCAAGTACAAAGTGTGGAAAGTAACACGCAATAGTCTTAATTCATTGTATATAATATAACAAAAAAGCACAATATCAATATAATAGCAATAACAACTTGGGAAAGGAATTTTACAAGCAGTCAAGTTTTATTCTTGCACACTCAACCCCTATTTGGGGAGGAACCAATGACTACATTAAATTTCCCCTTCTACTAGTATTTCAATTCTCATGGACAACCCTGCACAGGTTATAAGTAACTTACAGTTATCAATAAGACTTTGTATTCCCTCTTTTATTTGTTTGTCAACCTGAGTAAACAATTCGTATTTCCCATCATTCCCTTCTGTTGTACCATTCTCCTCCGACATTCCAGGATTCGATGCTTCATTTTTAGGATACAGAAACACACTACAAAGAAAACCATTCATGATATTTAATGATATAGCTAAAATTCTTTGGGAACTTTTGCAATGTCATTTACCAGCCTTATAAATTAAATTCTTTTTATCATATCTATAAAAGTGTAACAATATGGTTGATGTGATCTTTCTGAATTACATGTACATGTACATGTAATACATGTGTATAACGTACTGAAAAGAAAACAGAAACAAGATGTAATACTTATGTATTCTCTTTTGAATGCTCAATTTCCCCCAATAATAGACATTCTTATCTGCAGAACTATAGCTCTCCAAAAAATTTATTAGACAGGAGGATTACCGTTGGCAGAAACAGAAAGCATTTGTACCTTTGATCTGAATGGGCTGCTAGTATGGCCAGTTTGTTGGAATGGTTCATCATTATGTGTGAATGTGCAAACACCATTACAGAATTCAAACACTCTGTCAATGTCATCTAAAATACAGTAGTGAATACATGATTTTTTTTATCAATAGTGAAACAAATACACATAATTGATCAAACAAATAAAATACTTAACTTCATGAAATATTAAAAAAATTAAAATGGCAAAGAAATTCCTTTAATATTTACCTTTTCTGATATGTATTTATAAATTTTTTTTAAAAGGCAGAGTTTCCAAATACAGAAACGGCAATATCTATGAGTATCACAAAACCAAACCTTCTGCTGAGCCTTGGAATGAGATGATGGTTTCTGACCCCACCATACTGGATTTGTGTCAAGAATGATTATCAACTGACTCTTCACATTTTCTGAAAAAAGTTTTTGTATAATTGGTAAAAAAGAACATGCTTAAAGAATGGTTAAGTTGTCCAGGTATGTAAAATAAGGAGAAACCTACCTGTCATTTTTAAAGCGACTCAAAAGTTTAGACACATGTTTAACTTTCGTTTTGGAGAATTTCATATCAACTCGTTCCATGATTCATTCGGAAAAATTACAACATAGAATGCTTCAAACCTTTATAATAAAAGATTTATAATATATATGGTTTGTTCTAAAAAAAAAAAATAAAGATGAGATCATTATTCAAATAAAGATACAAACACGTACGTGCACGACAACTTCCTCATCTCTAGGCGATCACATTAGCATCGAGTACGACTTAATGATTTCTTCAACTTTCATTTTCACGTCTGATGCAAACATGGACAATGCAGGTAAAATGCATTTTGTGTGGTTTTCTGGCATTTAAAGTAACAAATATTTACAAAAGTTGTGCCATATATATATTATGAGATTGTGAATTTCCCAAAGACTTTTTTTCTGACTGCTGGTTTGTCGATATGTCATTGATTAATTTATCAAGACAGGTCTGGTACAATCACTAGATTTAGCTATGTAGCTTGATTTACCTACATAGCTTTATTTACCTACCTGAGGTAGCTTTATTTACCTACCAAATTGATCTATTTCTATTAAAAAGCATTTTTCTCAGGGTGTGCAGACAATATCATTTTGATGCAGTGATAATTTTCAACTTTGAACTCATCTGAAAACAACTCATGAAAAAATCCCTCTTGGAAAAAAGTCTTTTTCTGCGCAATTGCAATCAAAGTTCTGAAAGTTTTGGGGCTATGTATGACAGTTAGAATGGTTACTCCAGTTCCGGTTAACACGATAATAGGTCGGTAATTATTCAGCACAATGTGAAGTAATCATACTCAGTCATGCCTCACCGCACCTCACCGTATGGTCAGATAACCAAACAATAGAATTACATGTTTTGCTCTAAATTGTCCAAACGCAGCAATGTATAAACTATCTCTGCTCTGGATTGTTTTTTAAAGCCTTCCTATTATAAATATCAATAGTCATTTAATTGCGACTTTTTGTCTCTTTTTAATAGAAAACTTTTGAAAACTTACCTAAAATTAGCTAAATAAAGCTACCTGAGGTAGATAAATAAAGCTACGTAGGTAATTCTACCTACGTAGCTAAATCTAGTGATTGTACTGCAAGATAATGAGTTTTCTGCTCTGTGGGCAAAAATCTAACTCTAAGCCCCATGACAGCCTCTCAGCATTATTTAACCATATCTTGGAAAAAAAACTTTTTAAACTTTTTAAGAAATAGAGAATTTTATGTAGGTATATATATATGTTAGTAACAAAGAAAAATACTTGATACATGTTTGTGAAGGGTTTATCAAGATATTTTCCTCTGAGTGACTATTTTTTCATATGATTTATTTAATTCATAAAGTGGAAGAAAAACTAACCGAAGTGCTTGATATGCACAGTATATATACAATGGGAGTATGGGGGCATGTCCGTCTATATATAATTAAAAAAAGTTGTTAGTAATAGTTAAAACAATGTTGATAAACCCCTGTACATGTTTGTCTTACACTGCCTAGCAAACAATTTCAGCTGTCAACATCTATACATATAAAGGAACAGACATTGAAAGCATAATGCTTATAATTACAGATGTAAATTTGATTTTGCAGGCATTTTGTCTTACTTCAACACACTGGTCAAAGAGGACCCAGATCTCTCAGCAGCTGTTGCAGCCATCAAAACTTTACTGCATTTCCTTGAAAACAACAAAAGTAAGACATTAAATTAATGCAGCGAAGATACTGTAAATGTATTACATTTGGCCTGTACGACGAGTCTTTGAAGATTTGATTTAGCTCTATAAGAATGTGCTAGATATATTAAACCTAGTGCATATATTCATAAATGTAAATTAATTCATCTATCGTACACGATAGATGAATTAATTTACATTGAATACTATATAAAGATTTAATTTAAAAATCTCTATCTGAAGTTGAAACATTGGCTGAAATGAGAGACAGATTGAAGGAGGCGATTCAGATATTGACGGAGACAGACAGCAGTACTACTTCTATCTCCTCTGCTGGAGAGCTCTTCCTTCGATTCATCACTCTCACTAGTCTGGAGCACCCAGTAAGTAACATTGAAATAGTTTATCATTACCTTACAGTGTCAAATAGAGGTATACCAAGTGTATATTAATATTTTTAAAAGATTAAATCTTGTAGAGGAAAAGACTTATGAAAATGTTTTGTTTGATGAGGTCAGATTAAGTGTTTCAGTCCATAAAAATTTTGGCACATCTTGTTATTGGGTTGAAAAAAGAAAGCCATAGTATTATGACACTGGATACTCTATCTGTTGTAAAAGTATTGGAACATATTTGGAAATTTTTAAAATAATCTTCATGGCGATATCTTAGAAATATTGATTCTCAATTTAACTAAGGGACAAATTATTGAAACTGGTACATGTTCTTAACGAATATGCATAATTCTCTAAAAAGTAAAAACAGACTAGAGCAAAGCTCGTTGCAAAGCAACGAGAAGGTCTTCCTTCCTGTTTTGACTGGAAGTGACGTCAGCAAAAAGAAAGCAATGAGCTTAGCCGTCTCCAGTCACTTTATAATTTCAATTTTGCATCAAAACCTTAAATAATAAGCTATTTTTGGCTACTTCCGGTTTGACCGGAAGTGATGTCGATGGACAGAAAATTAAGTTTTGTGCTTCTTGTGATATATGTTACCCAAAAACTTGTCAAGAACAGCAAAAATATGCATTTTCTGACTACTTCCGGTTTGACCGGAAGTGACGTCGCCGGACGCATTTTGATGACTTCATTAGATTAAGCTTGACATTTTGAACAACATTGCTTCTTGGATGTATAACAAATTCTCAATACTTTTTGAGATATCTGGAAAAAACTTTTGGCCCCTCTAGATCCCTTAATTTAGGGGTCAGCCCTTTTTTTGAGATATCATTCAAAAGATCTTGTAATTCTGCACAAATTTTGTTCTATATGTTTTAACAAAAAATTTTTAGTTTAGAAGATAAAAAGCAAAATATGTGTAAATTTTCGCTCTTTTAGGCGTTCTAATTTTTGACCCCTATATAGCACCATCTTGAATAGAGAAATCGAAAAACAAAAACCACTATGCACAACTTCAATCCTTCTATTATCTAAAATCAGTAGAATTTTTGCTCCAGCTTTAGCTGTCTCTGAGCCTTTGTCTGGAAACGAAAGCCTATGAATTTTCGTTTAAAGGGAAATAACTCAAAACCGGAAGTGACTTTTTGAAATTTTAGATAACATTCTGATGGAGTTTAGTAACGTCTATCAACTCTGAAAATTTGAGCAAAATCCATCGAGAAATGAGTGAAATATGAGGCCTCAAAGTTGGCGTCTAGGAAAAGGAAAAAAAAAGAATAATAAGAACTAGATGAGATCTCGTTGCGAGCAACGAGTAGGTCTTCCGTTAAATTTCTCGATAAGATGAGATGTGATTTTGACTGAGATATTCGTGAAAAGAGAATGACATAAAGTCTTCCTTCATTTCTTTTTAAGTTTCTGATTTTTATCACAATATTCTGAACATCTTTTGTTCAGTATGGCTTATAAAAATACCCCCTCTTTTCGAGATATAAAGCATGAAAGATGTAGCATTTTGCAACCACTTATTACGTAACATATGATCAAAACTTTATAATGTATTGTTGCAAATCATTAAGATGAATATCTTTGCTTCTCATAATGGATACTTATAAAAAAAAAAACATCGATCATGAAAGAGTTGAAGATGAAATACTTTTGACCCCTCTAAGCCCCTAATTTAAGAAGTCAGCCCCTTTTTCTTCAGATCAAATGAAAGGTCTTGTGATTTTGAAGATTTTTTGTTCAAGACTTATTCAGAAAATTCTATTTGTTGTGGATATATGTTAAATAAAAATATTTTTAAGGGTCAGTCCTACAAGTCCTCAATGGTCCTCAATGGGGCCGTTTTACACAAATTCAAAGTATGCATATTGCTTAGAACATTATTCTTGCCAGCTTTTTTTCAATATTGCTTATCAAAATATTTCCGCTTTTTGAGATATAAAGCATCAAAGATTTTACATTCTGGCCCCTTCTGACCCCATAATTACATAACATATCAAAATTTTATCATATATTGTTGCAAATCCTTAAAGATAAATACTTTTGCTTCAGTAATGTTTAACAGAATATTGATCATTAGAGAGTTATAGATAAAAGACTTTTGGCCCCTCTGAGCCCCTAATTTGAGGGGTCAGGCCCATTTTCTTGATATCAACCGAAAGCTCTTGTGATTTCAAAGACTTTTTGTTCTACAACTATTCAGAGATTTCTTTTCGTTTAGAGGATATGATTAATATAAATATTTAGGGGCCACCCCTAGAAGTCCTTAATGGGGCCATTTTACAGAAATTCAAAGTATGCATATTGTTTAGATCATTATTCTGACCATCTTTTGTTCAATATTGCTTATCAAAATTTTCCCCCTTTTTGAGATATGAAGCGTCAAAGATTTAGCATTCTGGCCCCTCGTGACCCCTAATTACGTAACATATGACTAAAATATTGTACAGTGAAACCTGTCTAATCCGACATGCACTGGGAAATGAATTTTGTGTCGGAATAGACAGGGTGTCGGATTGCACAGTGTTAAAAACAAGGAAAATACTAAAATGGGAAAGAAATTTAACGTCGGAATCCACAGTGTGTCGGATTATTCAGGTGTCGGATTAGACAGTTTTCACTGTAATATATTGTTGCAAATCGTTAATATGAACATCTTTGCTTCTGTAATGTATCACAAAATATTGATCATTAAAGAGTTAAAGATGAAAGACTTCTGGCCCTTCTGAGCCCCTAATTTGAGGATTCAGCCCCTTTTTCTTGATATCAAAGGAAAGGTCTTGTGATTTCAAAAACTTTTTGTTCTACAACTATTCAGAGATTTCTTTTTGTTTAGAAGATATACTTAATATTAATATTTAGGGGCCACCCCTACAAGTCCCTAATGGGGCCATTTTACAGAAATTCAAAGTATGCATATTGTTTAGATCATTATTCTGACCATCTTTTGTTCAATATTGCTTATCAAAATTTTCCCCCTTTTCGAGATATGAAGCGTTAAAGATTTAGCATTCTGGCCAC